ACAGCAGAGGACACAGCAACACAAAATAACATCTAATGGGCCTTGCACGTTTCAGGGATGTTCATGTTGAGGTTGACCAGGTTGGTGTTTTCAGATGTTCTTTGCCCAATGGATCTGACAATGGCTTTAATATTGTTAACCACAGATTGGTGGTAAACTACACAGCTATACACCATGTTATTGTTTTTCCACTCATCAAGGCCGAGTGATAACTGGCCATAAGCAGAATAGGATCCATTGTTTTTTACAGGGTTTGTGGTACTGAACTTGTATTTTGAGTCTGAGGCTGCCTCGTCATCAACAAGCCAAGACACGAAAACCTCATGAGGGAAGAAGTCTTTCACATAGCAAGTCAGGGTCACTGTTTCTGTTCTANCTCATCAAGGCCGAGTGATAACTGGCCATAAGCAGAATAGGATCCATTGTTTTTTACAGGGTTTGTGGTACTGAACTTGTATTTTGAGTCTGAGGCTGCCTCGTCATCAACAAGCCAAGACACGAAAACCTCATGAGGGAAGAAGTCTTTCACATAGCAAGTCAGGGTCACTGTTTCTGTTCTAGTGTGTTCTACTGGTGGCAGCATAAATACTGAAGGACGCTGAGTCTCTCCTCCTGTAAGCATGAAAGAACAATTAGGCCTCCTGCCACATATAAAAGTGCCTACATTACATTAAGAAATCTCTGCTATAAAATACACCTAGAAATAAGATTCATAATGTGTTTGATGTCAGAGAAGAAGAATTAAACACAGGTTTTAGAGCATAATTGCTGAACAGTCTTACCGGTATTCCTTTCATAGAGTTTCTTGAGTGGTTCCTGGAAATTTTCATGTTCAACAACACAGTTGCGCTTTACCCCATTGCTCCATTCGTCATATGAGATGTCAAGCGGAAGGCTCAATGGTTTTCCATTGAAGGGGCCCTGCAAGGCTCCAGTCATTTCGTTTCCGTACTGGTCCTCCCAAAAAATCTTGTCAACACCTTGCTCGTTGACTTTACATGTTATAGTTCCTTTTCCATGTAAAAACAGATCCTCTACTTTGGGGCCTTCAATCTTTATCTCCACATCTGGTGCATTACATTCTGGAGATGCTGAAGGAGATATTAATGAACAATTATTGAAATGAAAAGGCTGAAAACCATTGAAATTTAAATGAACTTCATGTAAAATTTTCAAAGAAAATTCTGAAATTTACTTACTTCTTTTGTTGTAGATCACAGATGAATTAGTGAATTGATATCCGTTATCCTTTTTCCCCTTGAACTCGCATGTAAACTCAGTTTGAGGAAGCAAATCCTGGGATGGCACTGTGAGAAAACTTGCTGCACTGTACAGCTTAGTTCCATTCTTCAAATTTGTTGTAGTTGGCGTTTTGATCTCGTATATTTTGTTGTTGATTTCCTCTCCACTTTTCAGCCATTTGATGTCATAATCTTTTGGTGAAAAATCTTTAGCATAGCAGGAGAAGGATGCCTCCTTTTCATCATTAGAGGAGGCCAACACTTTAAGACTGATTGGCAATTGAGACAAAACCGCTGAAAAACAAACACATACACAAATATATATATGCAGAAGCAGAGAATGACTTGTATATATATATATGCAGAAGCAGAGATGAATAAAGTGCTACAATGTTCATGTAATCTAGAATGACTGTTTATTAGAATGTAAGTGAGTTCATGACTTTTTTGTACTATTGTATGTTATGCAACTTGCACACACAAATGCACATATTGATCACACTCCTCAAGTTAATTGTAACTTTATACTAAAACACAGAAAGAATCAAAAGGAAAACAAGATTTCAAAGTTAAAAATATACATAACTGAACAACAGATCTTTAATGCTTGCTTCTGCATATACATTAATTTTTCATGCAAGCAAACAAAGATTTCATGTTAATTATTAATTATTACAACTTAATGATATCGACATACAGTGAAAGTGGTGGCAGACAGAGATTAGGGAGAAATGGAATTATGCAGACAAACGGAAAGAAGCAGAGCACACTGCAACAATCTGTTCTTAGTCAAGTGCAGAGGACATATAGTATATTAGTAAAAAATAAAAAAGACAGAGTTAGAAGCTGAATATACATGAGCAAGCTTCAGCCTTCTCAGTCCACCTCATTGTTTGGTTTGCGTGCTAGGACAACTAGTTATGAAATCCATAATAGTTAATGATATATTTTCCTTTTTAATTTGTAAAAGTTGTATTTCATTTGTCTGCTGTCTTATATGTTAATGTTTCCTTCAATTGACAGGTTGGAGTATAGGCCTATTTCTTTTTAAAACAGTTATATCCCTTAGTACAATTATTTAATTTTGTCTTTTTTTTTCTTAAAACACTTTGAACTACATTTATTGCATGACTTGTGTTATAGAAATATAATGATATATAATTAAATATAATTACAATTATCAAAAACTTGAATTAGCAGTTTGATATAAGGTCACCAAATTATCTTATATAAAACATGCTGCCATGTAAGGTTACACATTTGTCCTCATCAGAAGTAACGTAGTAGTACTTGATTAGAGGAAAATTATTTGTACTGAAAAATCTAAGCCTGTTTTCGAGTAAGGGTGTTCTGGTTGATACTGTGTTCTATTTCAGTTTTCTTGTAATAGCCTACCAATGATCAATTATCAGTTACATTATGTAATGAATACATTTAATTTTATAACATTAACATTGTTGCACAAATTTAAAATATGTTAACAGCTCTGCCATGTAAAACTACTCAAATCAACTACTAAAAGGCATTTGTATAGGGATTAACATAGGTCTTACTTGGTGGTTTAAGTATAGCTCCATCAGTTCCCGCAGGATGTGTAGCAGTACACTTGAAATTTGTCTTGTCATTCCAGTCCTGTTTTCTCACTTGGATCTGACTGACTCCTGTGTAGACATTTCCTTTCTGTACAGGAGGGTACTGAATGAAGTCCGTCAAGGCAGCCCCATTTTTGTCCCATGTGAAAGTCAGTGAGGAAGGTGTGAAGCCGGTGGCAAGGCAGCCAAGATTGACCATGTCTCCAGTTCCAGAGCCACATGGCATCAGAGGAAACACAGTTGGAGCAGTTGATGTTGCTAAGAAAGGAAAAACAAAAGTGTGATTGAAATACCAAGAATATAAACATAAGACATTTTTAACTGAACATTGGATAAAACAGACAGAAGTCAACTGAGCTGATTCAGCAGTGTAAAAAAGCTCAGCATGTGAGGCATTACCTTCAAAATGTTGAATGTGGAAATTTTAAGTTACCTCCATAGACAGATCTTTATGTTTCTCTATCCCATTTATTTAGAGTTTTTTTTGTTGCGCCAAGATTAACCTCCCTCAATAATATTATTTGTGGTAATTATTCTAGATACAAATCGGTAAAATACTTTAAATACATAACTTTGACAATATTCATTAATAAGTTTTTGAATTTGAAGGAAGGAAGGTGAAAAGTCAGTAAACATTCATTAACTGAGTTGATGGCATATTCTGAGAAAAATTTATTATTTTTGTTCAATTTCAGCAATTCTGTATGAGATTAAATAGCGTTCTTACCTGATGAAACGGTTACCATTGTACCCTTTCCCCAGTAGTCAAAAGCACCGTAGTAGCACAGTGCTGAATCTACTTAGCTGTTAGTATGAAAAGGCTACAACTACTACTGCCGAGCGCAAAAAAGTCTACCATAACATTTATTTAATCCAACTGTTATAAAATCCACTTTAATGACCTAAAACACATTAGTCATAAATGTCAATCATTGTGTTCTACTGAGATTATCGCTGTTTGACTTTTTACAGTACATGTTTTAAAACAATTCCCTTTTGAACTGAGACTTGACATGAGGAGAAGTTACAATATAACTTAAACATGACACTTCACAGTCTGAAATATATCGTACTGTAGATTTTAAATGGTACAAATCTTACCTGATGACACAGTTACCATAGTGCCTTTTCCCCAGTAGTCGAAAGCCCAGTTGTCACAGTTAAGAGAGTCAATTCACACTTCTTACAAAAACTCATTACTCTAATAACCCATTCCTTTATGCCATAGAGTTTGGTTTCAGCAACAGTTAAAACCAAACAGAAATACACACCTGTTGATCGACTTTAGTTTCAACTGAACTAAAAAGCCAAGAGTTTTAAACTTTTGTCAAATTCTTTGTCAGGTTAGAAAATACTGTTGGCTGTCTCATCACTGGCCAATGCTTGTGACTACATGAAAATGATGATATAAATTTTAATGATGTGATTAGGAATTTCATTTTCTAGTCAGAAACGATAAAATTACATACCTGAGGTGACAGTGACCATAGTGCCTTTTCCCCAGTAGTCAAAACCATAGTCACAGTCTAGCAAATCATTAACCACTGCATACGAAAACCTATTCCCAAATATCTACCCTGACCATGGTAGGTTACTTCATGACAATCTACCATCTGACATATTTTCATTGGCTTTGGCAAACAAGTTCCAGTTTAAATTGAGTCTACCGATTATAACACTTTAACATTATTACAGAAATTAATGACCTGAAAGGTGTCAAAGCTGTATTTCTTAGAAATAAAATACTGAGTTTTAGAATCAAAATAAAATAGAGAAAAAAGCTTCGCTTACCTGATGTAACTGTGACCATCGTGCCTTTTCCCCAGTAATCAAAAGCAGCGTCACAATGTATTATGTCAACACATCCAACATACAAAAACTAGCCTTAAAGAGGTTTTTGATTCCACTTTTCTGTAAACATGCTACATTAAACAGTGTAAATATTACATTTGAAGACAAAAAAAATCATTTTACCTGATGTGACAGTCACCATTGTTCCTTTCCCCCAGTAATCAAAAGCATCGTCACAGTGTAATACGTCAACACATCCAACATACAAAAACTAGCACCTTAAAGAGTCTTTTGATGTCACTTTGCTGTAAATATGCTACATTAAACGGTGTAAATATTAAATTTTCAATATGAAGACAAAGAAAGATTATTTTACCTGATGTGACAGTCACCATTGTTCCTTTTCCCCAGTAGTCAAAGTAGTAGTCACAGTGACAGGTTTCAATAGCACTTTAGTGCAAAAATCTTTCACAGCTTGTATCATCCAATAAATTATGATACTTAATCAGTAAAGTATTGTATATATCTAAACTTTTAACTGATATTTTGTATTTTCTGCAAATTACATCCTAGTTTAAGTAGTTTAAACCAACACAAATTTAATAATAAACCAGGAAAATATTGAATTGTCTTCATTGAAAATAGATTGATTGTTACTCACCAGAAGTTACTGTGACTTGCGTCCCTTTCCCCCAGTAGTCAAAGTAGTCATCACAGTGACATATTACAATCTGCTCCTAATACAAATACTTAAAATGCTTTTTAAACCAAGGAACGTAAACAGGTTTCACTGACAAAGCAGTTTTCACTGTACCATTTATTAACCATTTCCCTTGAGATATTCAGTTCCTGAGGTCTGGTTTATATAAAATTAAGTGTGTTTCCCAACGGTTAGTGAACACTTCCTCTTTGTCAGACTCTCCTGTCAGCTCCAGTCCTTGAAGCATGCACCTCACACAACCAGATAATACTAATTCAGCTGAATCTAGTTTAAGTATTAAGTGACATTATTGTCAAGTTTTAATGTATAGTAGAACACAAAAGTTTATATTCAAGTGTCAAATTTTAATTTCAATAGATCAATTACATGAATTGATAAAAGAAATTAAGGCATAAAATTAAAACAGAAAGAGTTGCCGTTTGTGATGTGCTTGCAAAGTGCTTGCAAAGATTTCTCTGGGAGTTTGCATTAGCAGTTTCCACAAGGATGTGGTTGTTTTCTCAGGTTGGTAGCTGTACTCAGTTGAATTCTGAAGAACAAAATAATTTAAGTCAATGGTATAGTACAGTTTTAAAGTCTGTATCTATTTCATTTAAATTTAAATGCTGACTAAATTTAATAAATGCCAATATTTGCTGAATATTAAGTAAAACTTGCAAATTCAAACTCCTGACCTAAAGGCAAATGAGAATACTGTTAGCATTATGAGACCATCAAGTAAGTTTTCTGAAGTTATGTGGTTGTGCAGCAGCAGAAACACACCTGTAGTGTGCGATTACTGAATTACTTTACTGAAATATATAATACTTGAGGGTGTAATGATGGATTGTGATGATGCATTATTATGAATTGTATATACAATTTCATCAGTTTGATGAAGTTTGAGAGAAATTACATTGGCAGTGTTAGTTGCAGTGTAATGGCCCACTCCATTTATCTGACCTCACAGCCTTGCAACTTATTCTATATATAAGATTTTTTCATCGCAGCCCAAAAGCCACTCAAATACTTTGCCAGAAACAACAGCTCCTAGCTTTGCCATTCCACAAGCTCAGGATGTGTCCAACTCCACTTCCCCATCTCTCATCACTGGTCTGGACGACTCCAGCTCTTCGTTTCAAGTTGGCAGCCCGCCTGACACCAACTCCTTGCCCCTTGTTGGTGGCTTGGTCAACACCTGTTCCTAGTTTCCAGTCCACAGCCCGGTGGGCTGGCAGTCTGGCCAGCTCCCGCTGCCGATCTCCCATTGGCCGTCTGCCGCCTCCAACTCCTGATAGTAGTAGTAGTAATAGTAGAGCTCCAATCGCTACACAAAAAAAACATTAATACAATGATACAATACACCCCAAAGTACAGTGGATTGTTTTTTATGAAAAGTTTCTCAACCTGAATTGTGTTTTCTCTCTCCTCACAGTGGTTAGCAGCATATTAGCAAAGGATGTGTGCTTTGACTAACTGGGATTTCAAACACTAATAACTCATCAGAAGCTGTCTCCCTCACATTCACAGTCAGGATTCTAATAAAAGAACAGCTTCTTAGCATTGATACATAGAAATTATCAAGGTTTTAAGACTATTCTGTGGCATTTCCTATCATCTGCAGCATGTTCTCGAGATGTTTTCAGGAGGAGGTCTCAAGGGGAAGTGCTGGGAAACGGCTAACGTTAGCGTTAACCTGTGCCAAAACAGCATTACATAACTTTAACCCAGTCTGGTCCTATGTGGGGGAGAAAAAAACAGCGGCAGAGAGAAACAGACTTACCTGCGTTTCGGGAGTGCCAGTTGAACTTGTGGAAGCCATTGCCTAGGTATAAAGTCCTGTCAGGCTTCTGAATGTATATAAATTACACAACACATCATTATACAAAAATATCAAAATTAATTGAGATAAGATTTTTTTTTGTTTGTTTTACTTTTTAATGCCTGTGTTTCATTTTTCTTCAAGACCTATCGAATAGTGTGGGATGGAGAGATAAAAAACCCTTATCAAAGGGTCAGAAATTTTTGTCTACTACTTGGTTTGAAATAAAACACTTGCAAAACTATTGAAATTCCCACCAATCTCAGCTGTGCTGTGTTTAAAGTAGGACTGCCACCTAACCTATCCCTCCAAGATTTTTGGCATTTTTGCAGGCTAAAATACCTGATTTCACGGCAGCTTTTCTTAAAAATTGTGATACATATTGCAATGTTTTTAGATGGGTTTTTAGCAATGAAACTACAGGAAGGCAACTTTTACCAGTGAGAAAAAATCCAGTGCAGTGCAAGTGGTGACACCCTGAGAAATTGCCGATAGCCGATGTGATTGGGGGATGGGCGTACACTACAGATTACACAGCTCTTGGTGCCAGAAGCTGTTCACGCCGGTCAACAAGCGATTACACTCCTCTGCTCTGTCTTAATCGCAGATAGAGCTGATCTTTATAAAAGTTTTCTGGCTACTATATGAACAGTTTTATCTTGAAAGGAATGAGAGGATGTTTTGTGTCTTTTCATCTTTACTAATTTCCCATTTAGTAAAGACGACAATTTCATTTGTTTTTATTAGCTCTCTTCATGACAGACTCTTTAGTGATGATCAGATCTTCAACCGCTCAAAATGTATATTCATATCAACCAGATTATGTGAACTGTAGATATTTCATTTCATCTGGAGAAAAAAAGTAGCGGGGCGTCCTTCCGGTGGCTCCAGCAGCTCTACCCTTGGGGAGTTATGTTACCCTATGAGCAAGAGAGCAAGGACTGACCAAAAAAAGCGAGTGCGTCTCGTTTTGCTACTTCTCTCCTTCATTGACACCAGAAATTCTATTTACCACCATAAAAAGCAGCAGGATCAGAAACTGAACTAAATGACGTGTTCTGTCTGTCTGTCTGTCTGTCTGTCGATCTCTCTACATGACAGACGCTTTAGTGGTGATCGGATCTTCAACTGCTTAAAATGTATACAAATTTCAACTGGATTATTTGAACTGTAAAAAAAAAAAAAAAAAAAAAGTAGTGGAGCGTTGTTCAGGTGCGCTCCGGCAGCACTACACCTATGGTTCCACAACAATATACAAAACAATTTTAAAACATCAGGGAATTGCTTTATATGGTCTTTGACAGTGATTTGTTGGTAAATAGGAGACGTAGGGGTGGGCGATATGACGATATTAGATCGTGAAGGATTACAACGTGAAGACGATCTTTCAAACTGCAGAGATCGTGGGATCGCCTAGGGAACATTCTATAAATTGCAGTTCTATGCTGATGCACCGACGCACCAGACGTATTGACTTCGTCAACCTGACCGACCAATCATAGCGAATTACGGGCAGTGACGCACTTTCCTACCCGCCTTCTTGTTTGTGTGTGTAGCGGTAGCACATGGAGAGCGATGGCTGAAAGCCAAACGGAGTCGGTCGCCAAAAAAAAATTCCACCTCCATTATATGGAATTGGTTTAAATTTTCCACAACTGATCAAGCGCAAGCAAATGTAATTTGCAAAGTTTGCACAGAAACCGTTCGCACGTCGGGTGGTAACACGACGAAGCAGAATGTTGTTGTTGTTTACCTTAAACTTTACGTTGTTTGCACATGCAGGCAAAACTGCGACTATTTGAAATAAAATCTGTTAAGAAAGGTTCTTTGGTCTAAATTGTCTGTTTTTCTTTTTCCAATTTAAGATCGTGATAAAATCGAAATCGTGATTTTATTTTAAAAAAATCGTGATATGATATTTTTGCCATATCGCCCACCCCTAAGGAGACGTTCATGTCACACATCTGCAGCTTCACAAAAAGCTTCAAAATCAGAAAAAAGGATGTGAGTTTGGTGATGTACATCAAAGTTTTGCACAGGGCCTGGTATGATTGGTTCAACTTGCAGGAAGCTATGAAGATTTGTAAAATTTGTGGAAATGTGATTGGACAAAAATGCAAGGTTGAACAGGATTCACAGGGGTTGGTTGAATTTGCATTAATTATTGTGATCGGGACATTGCAACATTCTGGAGGGACTGCCTAATAGTCAACCAAATGCTAGTCCATGAGAAGATTCTTAGTCGACCAAGAATTCCAAAGTGTGAGATCGGTTCAAGAGGTTAAAGGATGACCCCAATAAAGATGACATGCAAACTCTGCAAGCAATTACTTGTTGACTCAAACGACACTTGTCATTTGAAACGTAAGTTAGCCTGATGTCAATGTGAACAATGTTACTTATACAATTTTTCTTAGCCCTGGTCTATCATAAACCTCTGATGACTACTCAACTAATGGCTTGAAGTAATGACTACAGGTCAACTAGGAAAACCTTTGGTCAGGGGTAGCCCTGGTTTACAGCTGCTATATGTAAGCTTTTACTATTGCTACATAGCCAACTTTAGCAGTAGCAGCTGTTTACTTGCCACTCTAGAGGAAATGTTCAGCAAACTTCATTTCTTTACTTGCCAAGATTTGTCTCAAGCAATATAAGCAACAGCAATTTTAACTATTATGTTTTTTCCATTTCTATCTTGGCAAGCAACCATTATCACCACCACCAGCTCATGACAAGAAACTACGATCGTTGGCAGAGAAAAATTACAAAGAGCGCCTTTAATGCTTATTTGCAAAAGTTATCACGCTAATATGCTAAACTATAGAAAACAGAATTACTTGTTAAACATTAACATGTTAGCGTTGCCACTTTGAGCATATCAGCATCCTAATCTCAGCATT